TCATTTGTTTGCAAGTTATAAGCATTTTTATATTTATATATAAAAAGTAGATATTTCTTGCTGTCCGGTACTGTACTATAAGCAAGATATAGTTTAATTAAAATCTTATTATATTTAACGAAAATTTTAAATCACACCTGTGGTGTTCAATATCAGTTATATGAAAATCTGTATAACATATAGATTAAAATAACTTTTATCAAAACAAAAATTAAATTTTGTTTAATATTAGGATTAGAATTAAGAACTAGAATAAGGCATAAATATAGCTTATACCAAAATTTTGCAAGGAATTTTTTTTGTTAAAGCCCCAAAGGTAGTTTCATAGATGAATTTTTGAGTTATGCCAATTTTTTAAAAAATAAATAATAATTTTTGTGTTACACCTGATCTTCATATTACACTGCAGCTCATAGCAAAAATTATAGTAGTGTTGAACACCAGTGGTGTGATTTAACAATGCTGATATCTAATATCTAATTGTCTAATATTAACCAATTTATAATATTAAAATTAACTAATCAGATTACTTTAAACTATATATCAGATATTTATTTGTTTACTGTCTAATAACTTGATTAGATTATTATTAGATTATTAGACTGTCTATTGAGTTTATTAGCTTATCTATTGTCTATCTACAACCCTGCTATAAGATAATCGCTACTATTATTATTATGATATAATATACTTTAACAAAAAGTTTTTCTTGAATAATTTTACCTAACCTCTAACCTTAGTCTAAATGCTAACTCTAAACTTTAAAATTTTTTGTTAATTGTAAAACTGCGCCACAAACCTGGCACAGAATTCATGATAAAATATTGTTACACAAGCTTTTATATTATTTTACATAAATTAAAGTAGCTTATATCGAAATTTTTATAATCAAAGTTCCCTGAAATTTTGTCAAAAGGTTTTTTAAACGCTTAAAAGTTTGGGGTCAAGTGGGATAAAGTGGGATCAAGTGGGATCAAGTGTTCCACCAACTTTCATTAGAAGCGATTCTGACATTACAAGCATGCAATACGTTAACAACATTATGTACCTTTTTTAACTTTCAAAGAGTAATAATTAATAAAAATAATATTTCCTTTTGAATAGATGTTTCGAACTTCACGTGAGCAAGTTAAGAAGACTAAAAATCAATCGTTTCACGAAATCCCATAAAAGTTTTGGAAACGAAATCCTTCGAATAACGAAAATTAATTCTTTTAATTTTGGCCAATCAGAGTTTTTGTTGATTAGCCAATCAAAACAAATTTCCATCATGCTGATTTGAAAATCCAAATCTTAGTTATTAGGTTTTGGGGTTCTGACATTTTTACTAATACCCTAATGTGGATTAGCTAGTAGGTTTTTGAGATACAGCACCCTAAATTGTAATTTAAAGATTTACAATATAATAACATAATTCTAAACAAATCTAATAAAACAGTAAAAAATAAATATCAAATTGAGGATTGGGTCATTGACGAAAGTCTTTTCCTGACTAAATTTATTAATTTACCCGCATTACAACTAATTGTACACTAGACAAATATTTTTATATGCACTTACCTTTGAAATTAATGATACCTCAGGCCGTTATTGTGGCGGCAATGATCTTTTTGCTAGCACTCTTATATTGTTTAGAAAAACTTCAATTATGTCTAAATAACGATTACTCTGTTGTTTTTCAATTTTAAGTTTTTCCTCAAGCAAGATTCGTGGGTTTAGAAATTCTACTTCAAGTTCATGAGTCAAATCTGGAGATGGTAGGGTACCATCAGATAATCTTTGTTTCTAATGATTATAAATATAAGTTAAACATGTAATAATCAAGAAAAGGGATGACAATAAAATACAAACCTCAGGACCCTTGACCTGAGTCAGATCAATTTTGAATAATTGATGGCTATAGCTTAGTCTGTTTTTATTCCGTTCAAAGACATGTTGACCATTAGGCATTTCCACTGGTAATAAGTGAAATATAGGTCATTAATGGATCTTGAGAATTACAACAGACAATCTACCGTTGGCCATTGCAATACCCTCATGATTAAGACCCGGGTATTATTCACCATCCCTACTGGCTTGTTACTTGAATAAGACCTGGGGGTACAACTATATAGATTTACCACTTTTAATATGATATATCCCCAAATATAGTACCCGGTTCTTCACACAGTACCCATGGGTGCTATTCAATTTTAAATGGAGTTCTCGAATAAGACTCTGGGTACTGTAGACAGTGGCCAACGGTATAATTACTTACTCGGTTTTTCAACGTTTACAGATATACGATAATCAAGGTGAGTACATGGAGAGTAAATATTCAAATGTGCAACATTGGTCTTTTTAACAATTCCGCCATCGATAACCTGAAATTTAATTTATTTAATAAAATTATGGCTCAACAATTTTAATCCATAATCTCAAAATAAATCTTCAAACCTTATTGGTCCTTTGATCTACAGTGACCCTGATTTTTCCAGATCCAGTTCCGGTGTAAAATTTATCAGTTTCATATATATGTCTGTATTCCACAGGATCGCCCTATTTTAGTAAGAATCAAATTACTATGATTCAAAAAACACATTGTCGCTGCTGATGCTGAAATTTGGGGTTTCGATTTGAAATATAGTCCTTACTAAAATCCACGTATACACTTTTTTATAAATTCCAGTCCTAAATTCTAGCCCAATCCTAAAAAAGGCTAAAAAAAACACCCCCAAAATTTAAATTTTCATATTAATATAGTCCAAATTTTAACATAAACCGATTTCAGCATCAGTCGTGACACATCTTAACACGATAATTATAGATAATTATACTCTGTAAGGCGGTTTTGTTTGATTCACACGTTCGTTTAGTAGTTTGTTGAAATTACTGTGTTGCGCCTAAAAGATCAAATATCGAGATTAATTAGAGGATTAATTAGACTCATCAATTCACAAAGAGAGAAAAAAAACGGTACAATTGTCATGTTACTCTTGAAACTGAACCATCCATCATCGCGAGGATTAATAACTATAATTTAAATATCATCTTTAGAAACAACATGTAAATAAGTACGATATATGTATTAATTCGCACCAGTTTCACTTATAACGGGCAAATTCAGTCGTGTCTGCAGATTTTTATCTACAAGTATACCCAGTTTGGCTTCTATCTGAATGTCCAAGAATTCAAACGATTAGTAAATTTAATGGTAACAAACGATGAATTTAACTATTAAATCATTGTCACCTCTACATTTTCTCTGCCAACATGATTATATAGGAAATCGCCTACTACTTTTGTAATATCGCTGGTAGGTTGAAAGCCAAAAATTGATGGCTCTAAGATTCTTGGCAAATGATGTCCAGCACTTTCATAACGCACTACAAAATCATCTGTATTAGAAACGCTTGGATCAGATTCAGTATCGCCTTCATTTTGAGAGTGATACCCAAGCTTTTCATTACTTGTCATGATATTGTCAATGTTTAAAAAAAAAAAATACTAATAATAATATTAAGGAGCAGTCATTTAAAAATTCATTTTAATTGGTCATATGACAATCGTCGATCACTCAACATTGCCGACACATTTACGAAAATGCATTTTGAATGATTTCGCTCCTGATCAAGTTCTATATTTTTTTTCTTGTTTTCTTCCTTAACAAGAGTGCTAGATCCTTTTCCAATCGCTTTATGAAAACTTTTAATATGATAGTAAATTTTTTTTTTGTAATATTCTCTACAGTAGCGGTAGCCGCTATGATGATAATCATGCTTATATTATATTACAGCATTATATTTTATATTTTTTTTATTCTATATATATCAAGTTAAAAAAAATTTGTTAAATGTAATAAAAAACAATAGTATAATAATAAAAATAAGTTAATGGATTCAAATCATTGTTAAAGCTTCTATTTAGATTATTTTAATTTCTTATTATTTTAAGATAAAAAAGATGATAATAATTTGAATAAATTAAAAGTAAAATAGCAACTGAATGATAATATCATTACAGAAGCAGTTATATTATTCATAATAATAATTTAATTAATAAAAAAACTAAAAATGTTATTAATTTAGATAATAAAAATAAAAATAATTGATTTTTTTTTAAGATAAAAATTTGTTCTATAAATATTTTTTTTTTTTTTTATAGTTTAAGCTAGCTTTTTTGGCTTATCACTTTTATTAGATATATTTAGAATCAATAATATCTTCAGAAGTTCTGGACATAGTATATTCTGACAAGAAAAATATATATTTTAATTACAGTTGTCCTCCTCTACAATCACCTCCTATATAGTCACACCCTCTTTATAAGCACCATTTTTTGAAAAATTATTAGCAATTTATTTATTAAAAAAACTTTATATAATCACAGTGCTATTAAAATTTTATAATCACATCTTTTTTATGTAAAACAAACCGCGTGATTATAGAGGAGAACGACTGTATATATCTATATGTTATATATATCTAAGATCTATTTGTGAATCTTCTATTTAAATTTTCTAAATTGAGTTTCTAATATTGATCTAATTTAATTTAATTTAAAATATAAGATATATATATTATTTCATATTTTAAATTATTGCAAACTATTTATAAACCAACTATTTTTAGTATATCTTCAAATACATCACATTACTGCAAAAGTGTCTAAACTTCTGGCGGAGTCCGCCCAGTAAACCGTAATTTGTTTTAATTCGTAAGATAAAATTCTAATATTGTACGATGTAAAGATACCTTTCATTGAACATTTTTCTTTTATAGAATTAAAAAATGTTAAATATTACAGGTGAGTACGTAGTAAATTCTTTTTTATAATTATATATTTATTGCAGATCCGAAAAATTTATTATAAAAAATCTTAATCAATGTCCAAGTTCAAGAATGTCCAAGCAAATTTACACTTATATAAAATTAAAATAAATTATTTAAAAGTATATAATTATATACAAAATTAGATGCTGAATATTTTTGCTTAATAAATTACATTAGGTTATCATAGTAAAATCTTGAGTTATTAACAATTTATTTTTGTTCAAGATTTCGTCCAAGCATGTCCAATAACAATACTGACTACTAGGGTTCGGGGCACGGTTAAAAAATTAGGCATGCCCTATTTTGATCATGTGTATAATAATATCATTATAGCTCTTATAATTTGAAAAATGATAAGTTAGTTTCAGCTATTGACCCTTAATTATTCAATTTTGTAGATTGCAAGTGTATCTATAAAATAAAAGTAATATTATATTGTCATAATATTGGTAACTTAGAGTAACAAGTTTCAAGATTATTCATTTAATATTATATAGCCAAAAATTATAGCATTGTGGTTTCAAACCAATAAGCATGCAAGTTAAGTATCACATGATCAAGGCATGCCCATCGGCTCTGTGGCATGCCCCAAAGGGCATGCATGTGCCCTCGTGCCCTGAACCCTACTGACTACGTATATGACCTGCGCTATGTTTATAATTATATAGACTGATATGAAACCACCCTAATCAACTATGATGCTATACTTAAGTTTGATTCTAAACCATTACATAAATACGGATTAAATATTTTATTAACTATATAAGTACAATTAGCATCAACAGTGTCGACATTATTTCTGCTTAAACCGTCCAAAGTTTCTTAGGATCGAAAATAAATGGCGGCATTAATATATGTAGACAGACACGTAGTTTATTGTCAGCAAAGTTCGGATGAAAAAAACCACAGAAAATTGGGGAATGGACTAGGAACCCCCTTCGGCACCTTTTTGTTGATTTTAAGATTTTCAATTCAAATTAAAGTATTGGTTCTTATTTATATTCAGTACAATCTTATTACACATTAGCTTAATAAAATATCGAGATATTTAGATTTAAAAAAAAATCAATTATTCGAAGATATAACGATAACATTCTAAAAATTAGAAAAAAAATAGAATAACAGCCAATCAGAAGATTAAATTCAGGCATGTGATCTTATTCCTACAAAACGATAAATCAAATCTGGAATTGAAATTTCGTGTAACATTGGTTTTTTCTAATCACATTTTTCTCAAAACTCAAAACCCTTTCGAAAGTAGATGAGCCAAAAAAAGATAATTTCTTTAGCCAAGAATGGCGTTGGGGCATTCGTCTTTCCATGCCGAAAAATTGAATTCACATATTGTGAGCGTAGTGGGAGCAGTCGTGGCATGATGTAAAATAATCTGTTTTTTTTTACATCAATAGTGAAACTTTACGTTGTATAATGATTTCTTATTATACGATCATTAGTGAATATTTAAAGACTCGTTTAATTCCGTTCGCCAAGAAAAATCCGCAAATTGAGATTGTCGTAACACCTAAACCCTCAAAACATCCATTCATTCGCGGTCTATATCGTTAGTTTTATCAATGGACTACTTGATTCTTTGACATATGTTTCATAGATTTAACGAGCATCTTCTTTAATCGCTCTAGTAAATGGTAGAGAAAAAGGAATAAGTGTTAGGAATAAGACTCCCAAAGAAATTGTGGAGACAGTGAATCTTATACGTGATAATACGGGATTCAAGAATAATAAAAGGTTCAAGAAACCAGTAATATCTACTACTGCAAGTGTTAGAGGAATTTGGAGCCCTTTTAACACACAACCCCACAGCATCTAAATCAGGCAAGTATCTAGTAATTTCAATTAATAATTTACTACTTTTTTTCGCAAATGATATTCCTTACAATTAGTAGGGATCTCGAGATCATGAAATAATTTCTTGTTCATTTGGTTACAATCGATCTGCTATGATTTAATCGGCCAAATGAATATATTATAAATATTAATAAATAGAATTTAGGCTTTTGTATTGAATTTAGTTATTTTTAAAATTTTATAAAAAACATAAAATATAAAAACTTTGTTTTTTCAATTATTATAAAACGCACCTATGGTGGTTTTGTACCTAGTATATGTTTTTATTATGTTTTTTAAAAT